GGACAACCCACAACAGCTGACCTACATATTTTACTCCTTCAATCTCTGCTTCCTCCCAGTCTACATTTCTACCTAACATCGCTACAGTGCACAGACTGATACACTGCTTATGTGCGACACAATTTAATCTAAACCTTGAAGCCCTCAGCTTGAGAAATATCAGCCACCTCCTGCACTGTATCTACTACAATGTCAGTTGAGTCACTACATGACTCAAACGGAAAAGCATGCAGGCCTGGCAGATGTGCGTAATTCCCTCCCTACCCAACATACCTTCAGGGTCTTCTGCTGAAAAAAATCCACAGCGTTAGTAATGTGCACACAGTGTATTTTAGCTTCGCTTTCATGTGCTGCAATATCTAAAGATGGGGAAACACCATTCTCCTCTGTTTTGCCCTAATTCTGAAATTCTGACCCTACCATGCAACAGGGAAGCCCAAAACCTTTGCAGTAAGTTTGGGTTTGTTGCCCCAAGCAACCTTAATTCATCTGTTTTATGCATATGTGCTGCGATAGATTAGTATCTCTCAATCAGCATTTCTCTAGGATGACTGCATGACTGCTTGACTCAGGAAGAACAGATGTGCAAACAGTTCTTCTGGAACAGTCAAAAAAAGCTAATTTCTAAAATTGTGAAGTGAACTCAAAAGTCATGAGCACCTCCTGTGCAAATAAACTGCAGAAACTATGATTAACACAGTCTGCCCTTCAAGTAGAGCTCAAAGCTGCCATCCAGAACTTAGTTTAATAGGAAGTCCACCTCACCTTATATTCCTAAAAGCCTAAAATACATGTTTAAGGGTAATAGAGCACGTGTGTAAGAGGCATGAAAAGACATATAAGATGCTGTACACTACATGTGAGGAGTGGAGTGGCAATTCTTGCCCAAGAGACAACCTTGGGGGGGCCCTGCTGGCATGGGTGGGAAGCCAGAGGAAGCTTGCTGCACACCCACTGAAACCCCCCTCCCTTTCAGACGGTCACAGGGACCTTCCTTCCCCAACTTCTGCCAAGCTGGTGTGAAGAAGCTGAGGATGTGCAGGACAAGCTCTACTGCATTTCGCCTTGTTCTGTACGCCCAGCAGAGCCGACCTCCAACCCCAGCCCGCACTGCTGATGTGTAGCAGAGAGGATCAGGACCGACCATGTGCACAGGCACTACCGGAGCTACGTTTCCCCTGCGGCACATGTTTATTTGAACCCCCCAGCTCCAAGCTGTGCTGCATTGTGAGAGGAGCTCCAGGAAACGCTCGGGAGCCTACAGCCATCTGGCTGCCGGCCGCTCTCCCAGCAGGTCACCGCATAGACAGCACATCCTGACAGCGATGTCATTACCAACCTGGCGCACAGAGAGCTGTTCCTCCTCACCATTTGACCTCCCTTCACAGACAGACACACATGTCCTCCTGAAAGCTCCCCTTGGCACAACTGGCTGGGCCCCAGCTCCACCAGCACCCTGCCCAGCCACCTCAGCTAAGAAAACACTGGTGGGATTGGGAGGCCCCAAAGTTGGAGAGGGGATGTGCCTGGGAGAAGCCCTGCACGCCCCTCCACCTCTGCTGGCAACCAGCAGAAGGGACAAATTAGAGCCGAATTAAGTTACCAGCATTAAACAAACATGCCTGGCCTCTTTGAAGTTCTGCTTCCCTTGAACTTGAGCTCATTTCAGGAGGCCTCTTTTTGCTCAGCCCCAGGGAGCCATCAGTCTCGATGGAGTTAACTCTTCACAGGACTTCTCAGCTCCCCCAAGCATCTCCTGGTACCCATCGGCTCAGACCAGTCTGATATGTGAGCAGAGCCTGGTATAACCACAGTTAGCACCGACCTCCTGTGCACGTCTCCCCATATCTCCCTGACTTAGAGAGGAATTCCCACCGGGAAATGGAATCTCCCTGACTCCCTGCATGGTCCTGCAGTCTCCCAGCTGGCACACAGGGAAGCTTTATTGGAGCTGAGGGAAAGGGGGATCCCTCTGCGGTGAAGCCTCCTCCAATCTTGCCAAAAGCAGCACTCTCAGGTCCTGGGAGGACTGCTCAACCCTTCTCCAAAGCAGCGCTGAGGAGTAAAGGAACGAGGGAGGAATTTAATTACAGATGAGGAAAGTTCCTAGCGCTCCCTTCTTTTGGTTTAATCCCACAAAGTGGAAATTGGAAAGTCTGGGGCAGGAAAGAGAGAAGGTAACCACAGAGAGGAAAGTAAAATACCACAAAGACAAGGCTGATCCCAACTCGTTGGCATTTTTGCATGGCTCATGCAACCTCTGCCAATTCCCGCTCTTGCCCCAGTACTTGAAAAACACATCAAAGAAAGCAGAAATCTGCCTGAGAGCAAGGGCTGCCTTTGCCCAGGAAATAGGAAGATGTGACTTTTGGGGTTCACTATTGTTGTACATGAGCAGAGCGACTGCACAGTTGCTGCCAATGGAGTTGATGCGAGAGGGAGAGTCTGTCACGGCTGTCCGCCCAGGGGGGAAGCAAACGCTTCTCAAGATGGCTCCAAGCTACCATGGTGTCACTGCCATGATAGGGCGTTACTTCTGGATCCTGTGCTTGCTCACAGCTTCAGCCCCTGGCACAGAGAGGCTGGAGGTGAACAGAGCCGCTTGCGCCAGGTGCTGTGGGTCAGATGGAGGTTCCCACTTCTCCTGGGAAGATGGCTTCCACCTTGCTCCTGAAACCTTCCACCCCCAGTTTACTGCCAGGCAAGCCCCCACCCAACGTGTCTTTAGCCACTCATGCAGTACCCGAGAAGCACCTTGGAGATGCTAGGCAAGAGCCCCTGACTCCAGGCACTGCTGGAGAGGTCAGCACTGCTGACTGGAAGTCCCCAGTAGCTCTGTGGAGCCTGCAGGGTGGCAGCAGGCAGGACGGAAACAAACAGCAGGAAGCAAGGGAGAGGCTGGGAACATCAAGGCCAAATGCAGAAATCCAAGGTAAACAGCAAGAGTGCCTTTCAGTTCCCAACCATAACAGAAAGCATCTCCACCCAAGGGGGGCCCACAGCTTGGCTTGCACACAGGCCATGCGAGACGACCTAAGGAAATCCACGCCAACATCAGGCTTGCAGCACGGGGGACAGAACCGGCTCACATCAAGGGACAGCAGGAAAGCACCAACCTGACTGGCTAGCACACAATGACCCTGGATTTTCAAGAGGAACAGTCTCATGAGAGAAATGCCTTTCCTAAGTAATCCTTCAGCTCCAGCAGAGAGGTTGCCCTCACTCTTCTCATTTCATTGACAGGTGTGCACTGGACTTGCCAGTCAGCAAATACTGGAGGGATGCGCATGGGGACAATGACAGCTCCCCTGGTCCTAAATACAACTGCAATGCTAGCAAGCTAGGCACATCTGAAAATCTCAACAGCCAACGCTGGGACCTTTGCAAGGCAGCAAGTTCCCCAATATCACTCCCAACCAACAATCACAGTTCTAGGAAGAAGGCAAGTACAATCTGATTCAGACTTGCTTTTTCCACATTCACAGTAGAGATCACAGCACAAGGCAGAGCAAGGTAACTGTCAGAAGTACAAACAGGCGCACTCCAGCAACTTCATAGTTCTTATTGTACCCTTATTATATCCACAAATAGCCTAGTGCCCCTGTGAAAAATTCCCTAGGAATATGTGTTCCAGAGACACAGGAAAGACTCCAAGGAAATTCCTGAGGAAGAGCAGACCTCAGCAACGTTGTACAGCACCAGAGAGCACCAGTACTCCCTCCAGAGAGCCACATCGTGCCCATCCTTACGGATGGCTGTTCCTTAGCACCTTGATGCCAGGCTGTTACACTGCTAACAGTTATATCATCTGTACCTTTACCACACATGAAGCAGCATAAGAAAGCCAGACAGAGCACCCAGATGTCCTTGCTGCTAGCCTCTGCCTGTTTTGCTGCTAAGAGCTGAGTGGAGGAGGAAGACAGCGAAGCAACAACGTGGGCCTTACCTTTTGTTCCAGGGGGCTGCAGATTATCTCCAGTCAGCGAGCACCAGCCTACGGGAAAGATGTCCCGGGAATCATATCGGCACCAGTAATCGAAGGCACCTCTCCAGCCATCAAATGTTATGAGGACCTCAGAACCTCTCACCTCCCCAATGGTGGCCGGGCAGATGAAGTGAGGGTTCTTCCTGTCCACTGCCTCCAGCTTCATACCTGTCTTGAAGAAGTTTTGGGATGGAGAAGGTGGTTCCTAAAACGAGAAGTTGAAAATGTGCTCAAAGAGGATACGCCAGTGCCTCCCCAGACCAGGGCTGTCCCCTCTATCAGCAAACTCACCTCCACAAGCAGAAGAAGGGAGCTAGTGGGCTGGATTTGAACCCCAGTTAGGTGTGCACATGCTGGCCTAGCTACACAACCATGTGCCCTTTAAGTCAGGGGGCAACAAAGTCCTCTACTGAGTGCTCTGCCATGACCCGGCTGCTGGACCAAATCGAGACAGTGCTACATTAACACTGCACCCTGTGACAACTGTGTCATGCAGCACAGGCAGAAAACAAAGCTACAAAGAGAAGAGCCTTTGTAGGATACTATCACCTCGTTATCTCAGAGCAGGAAAATCTGAGATGTGACAGGCCCTCTCCATCATTCTTCCCCTACTTTCAGCTTTGCTAGATGTGTGAGAGATCTGCCACCCATCCTCATCTGGGACTTGCTCTTCCTAGTCTTGAGATACACTACCTGAGATACACTAAAGCCATCCCAACCATCCTGTACCACAGCACATGCCTCTAGACTGGCTTCTGTCTCTCTCACTTCACTAAGGGTGTGAGAACACAAACTATGAAATTGCAGTGTTGCCTCACAGCAATAGTTGCACTCCTTACAAGCTCTAGTACATTAAAAAGTGTCTGAGACAGGTGCTGACTTTCACATGACACATTCCTGACTTTGAGTAGCACCTGCAGCCCAAGTGAAAAACAAACACATTTCTCAAGCCCAAGCATTGAAGCTCAAGACACTTTCTCAGTAAACCTCTGTCTGCAACCCAGCACTGCTACAACACAGCAGCAGAGGGTACGGGTCTGTCCTAGAGAAGCAGCACCGCGGCAAAGCTGGACAATGCTCATCTCCTCTGGGATCAGCAGATCTCACACAAGACACCAGCTGTGATTTTGGTGCTCTGCAGTAAAGGGGACATGCCAGAAGGATGTGTTCACAAACAGTACAGTAAAATACCTTGTGAAAAATCCGGACAGGAGCCATCTCTGCTCCATTCAGAGTCTTCAAAAGGAACATGGGCCAAGAGGAGGCATTCAGCCGAAAGCCTGCAGAGAAGGAAGCAGAGACGGAGACTTTAAGGCTGTGGGGGTCACTGGATCTGACAGCACATGCCTGCTCTAATGCAAACTTTGCAGCGGGCACACACTGTGATCCCACACCATCCTCCTCCTCACGCTGGAGTCAGGTTTGACCTTTTCCAGATACTCTGAACACAAAACATTATGTCATTGAAAAGAAACATCTGGAAATGGATATTCGACCACAATATTTGCTTATCATAACAAAAGTCTGTACATTGATCATATAGGCAGAGCACTTTGTGCAGCACTAGTGCTGGCAGCTTCAGTGATTCAGAGGGGAGACGTGAATCAGCAAGCGCACACTCAGGCTACAAAATTTCTTCCTCAACAGGGAATCTCAGCTTCTGGGTGGCCTCGTCCACCTTGTAGAGTGAGCTGCAGGCAAGCTAACCTGAAGAAATAAAGAGGCTGTGACTTGGCTTGGAAACAGACTTAAGCATTACAGGAAAGGATGGCAGTTTTTGGCTCGACACCTTCTGTGAAAAAAAGTAGAGAAGTAACAGGCAAGGGCTTATGGGAAGAAAAAAGCAAATTCACCCGCTCTGAGTCTATGGCACTGAGTACAACTGTACAACTGACAAAAGTCTCCAGGTATCACAAAATACCATCTTTGCTAAACATGCATCTTCCTGTATGGGCAATTTCTGCTGCTCAGCTGAACACAGCATTGCACTTTCCACATCTGTGGTGTTTTGAAGGTAATCCTGGGACTGGACCTAGATGGAGAGCATCCCATGATGATTAACATGGCAAAATTCTGCCAGGGTTGAAATGCTAGAGCACAACCAGCTCAGTATAGGCCACCCTGCCAGCCCCGCAACTCTGTCAAAGCAGCCTGGAAACTGAACAAGGTAGCCAGAAAGCTCAGGGGATGGGAGAGCTAAGCTCCCTGAGGGGCAAAGATAACCTTTTACGTGAATTATTTATGTAAAGAAGAGGAGTAGCAACAGATGCGTACACATGGAAAATACTGCAAGAAACACAGATAATCTTTGCCACATTTCCTGGGCCTCTGCACTCTGCAGGCAGAAAGGTCAACTGCAGAACTAGCTGTTATTACCTGTCTTCATGCTGGGTGCAGGAGAACCACTTTTGTCTGGCCCAAGGTTAAGCCAACATTACAGATCAAAGCTGGGCAGGCAGACTTCTTCCAGAGTATGAACCCTCTCCTCTGGCACAGTCAGAAATGAGTTTTGCTCTGCAACTCGATTACATTTATTGCCATCTGCTGGCAAAACCCAGACAAGGCATAGGAGGAACCCATCTCTGCCAGTGAGGACAGGCACCTGCACCTCCTGGGCAGGCCACACCAGGGCTGTGAGCTGCACCCTGGGAGCAGGGTTCCAAAGAAATGTCTGCAAATGGACAGAAGCATGCATGAAAATAACATAAAAAATCGCAGCTTTAACAATAATAGCTGCAGCAGGTTTTGCCTGTAGCAATTATAAAGGGAAAGGGTATAGACTTGCATACACACAGCTTTGTGTCGTGTGAGGTGCCAAAACATGCACCTGCTCATGTTTCTTCCTTCTTCAGAAAGGTCAGTCCCAAGTGTCCCACTGCAATTTAGACTGTCCTTCCACCAAGACTCACAAATGGTGCTCCAGGAAAAACCTATATATTCCTAACTCAAGGTATACTATTGAAGGTTTCTGGTATCCCTATAGATCAGCTTGATATTATTTTGGGCTGTGCTAATTGAGAGAGAGGTTTATGAAACACTTCAAAAATAATGGGCAGCAGAATGCAAAGGCAGGTTAATCTTGCTGCTTAATCAGAAAAGTACCAGCAAATCAGCTCATCATTTGTCCAGTGTTTAAAAAAAGAAAAAAAAGAAAAAAAAGACATGCATTTAACTGAAGACAAGACTGGGAGACATGTTCGCCTGTCCAGGTTATTTATAAAGCTGTAGCCAAGCAGAACTAAATAAATAAACAGATGAAATATTGCAAGTGTACCTTCACGTGAGACAGGACTTAAATCACTGGGAATGTTTCCAGACATTATGCTTCCCCATCAGATAGCCTCCATCTAACCTGCTATTGCCCCAAAGACACTTAGGCACAAATAGAGTTAGGCAGCATGAATGAAAATTTAAATGCTTTTGAAATCACAGTGTCAGGATTAGCAGTGATACAGCAGCTGCCTCAGCCCTAATTGCTCTCTTGGTTATTCTCTACATCAAGATTTACAGAGCCCCAGCAAAGCACCTCCACCCAGACACCAGGCTCCCCCGCAGCTCAAAGCGAGAGCGCAGGGGAAAGCTGGCGGATGGCAGCCGTTTCATGTCAAGCACACCTTTGAGATGACAGCGCTTACAAGCAGGATCAGAAGCCTAAAGCAATGGGCAATGGCCAGAGACCAAGCCATTGCTACAGCTATGTGCCAGCACTGCCTGTGTGGCCGTTTCCAGAAAAAAAGAACCTGGCTTCGTTCTGTCCTTATACAGGTAATCACCCAGGAGAGGCCAGTCCAGTTGCTCTGTCTTCCAATGCTACTGCCAACACCCCTGGGTCACTAGGCCTTCAGGGTGCCCCTCGATTGCATGTGTGTCCTCTGGCTCTGGCATTCTTTCACACAAATGGGTGGCCCCTGTACTCGGCGCTGGTGAGGCCGCACCTTGAATACTGTGTTCAGTTTTGGGCTCCTCACTACAAGAAGGATGCTGAGGTGCTGGAGTGTGTCCAGAGAAGGGCAACAAAGCTGGTGAGGGGGCTGGAGCACAAGTCTTAGGAGGAGCGGCTGAGGAAACTGGGGTTGTTTAGTCTGGAGAAG